TGTTTACATCGTATATTTGTGTGTCTCTCTTTGTGTGTGTGTGTGTGTTTCTATATAATATGCTAGATATGAAGTGTTAACTGCTTGTCTGAGAAAATGGCGCTGCAAGAAATCACAGGTTGCGAAATGCAGACATGGCTGGATATCTTCACACGTCATCATATCGGTACGGCAGCCATTTCCCAGTTTAGCACCACCTTACACCAAGGCTAACGCGCATGCCAGGAACAACAACATTCGAGGGGAGACGACTCTAAACGTTAAGCACATTAGACAAGAGTAAATGCCCCCGTTTCTAAAATCAGTTTTTAAAAGCTACCGTCAGATCCTTTAGGAAGATTGCTCCTAGAAATAAAACAGCTACAAACCAAACATACAAACATTTGCTGTCGTTAAATGTTGAGAAAATAAATCTGCTAAAAAAGGAACTAATAATTGTTGTTGCTGCTACAACTTGACGCGGGTGCTGGAATGCTGGCTAATTCTTTCTGAGGTTAGACGAGGAGGATAAGGGGCCAGAACATATAGCGGAGAAGATGGATCTATATGGGGGGGGGGGAAGGGAGGGCATATAGCAGAGAAGATGGATCTAATGGGGGGGGGGGCATATAGCAGAGAAGATGGATCTATATGGGGGGGGGGGCAGGACATATAGCAGAGAAGATGGATCTATATGGGGGGGGGGGACATATAGGGGGGCATATAGCAGAGAAGATGCAGAGAAGATTATATGGGGGGGGGGCAGGACGTATAGCAGAGAAGATGGATCTAAATGGGGGGGGGAGGGGACATATAGCAGAGAAGATGGATCTATATGGGGGGGGGGAGGGAGGGGCATATAGCAGAGAAGATGGATCTATATGGGGGGGGGGAGGGAGAGCATATAGCAGAGAAGATGGATCTATGTGGGGGGGGGGGGGGGAAGCAGGACATATAGCAGAGAAGATAGATCTATATGGGGGGGGGGGGCAGGACATATAGCAGAGAAGATGGATCTATAGGGGGGCCAGGACATATAGCAGAGAAGATAGATCTATAGGGGGGGGGGGCAGGACATATAGCAGAGAAGATGGATCTATATGGGGGGGGGGGAGGACATATAGCAGAGAAGATAGATCTATAGGGGGAGCAGGACATATAGCAGAGAAGATGGATCTATATGGGGGGGGGGAGGACATACAGCAGAGAAGATGGATCTATATGGGGGGGGGGGGGCAGGACATATAGCAGAGAAGATGGATCTATATAGGGGGGGGGCAGGACATACAGCAGAGAAGATGGATCTATGGGGGGGGGGGCAGGACATATAGCAGAGAAGATGGATCTATGGGGGGGGGGAGGGGCAGGACATGTAGCAGAGAAGATGGATCTATGGGGGGGGGGAGGACATATAGCAGAGAAGATGGATCTATGGGGGGGGGGGAGGACATATAGCAGAGAAGATGGATCTATGGGGGTGGGGGAGGACATATAGCAGAGAAGATGGATCTATGGGGGGGAGGACATATAGCAGAGAAGATGGATCTATGGGGGTGGGGGAGGACATATAGCAGAGAAGATGGATCTATGGGGGGGGGGAGGACATATAGCAGAGAAGATGGATCTATGGGGGGGGGGGAGGACATATAGCAGAGAAGATGGATCTATAGGGGGGCAGGACATATAGCAGAGAAGATGGATTTATAGGGGGAGCCAGGGGGGTGGGACATATAGCAGAGAAGATGGATCTATAGAGGGGCCATGTAGTTCTAGGTAAATCTGGTAGTTTCTCCTATAGTACACACTTCTTTCAATTTTCTTCTAATCTTCCCCAGGGCCAAGTTAAAAAGAAGAGGGGACGGGGAGCATGGCCTCTTTAATTAAACTTTGCTGACCAACAACCTGGAGCATTACTGTCTCCCATTACCAAGGCTGTTTGAAGATTTTTGTAAAAATGACTGCTTTTCTAATTAAATTCATTACACATTTTTTTAAGGCGTAGGGTATTGGCCCATTAGGAATGGTTGCTACACATGAAAACAAATATGTTATGCAAATGTCACGTGATCATGGTGGCCACTTGGAACAATTAGAATATCCGGATGCAGTTTAATTCAAAAACTATCGGTAGGGACGTCGGTCGGCAGACTACGAGTCGCTAATTCAACAATGGTCCAACTTTTCTCTCTCTCTGTATGTGACTATATTATAAATGTCTTCCATACATTGTTTGGTCATGGAGATTCAAGGTCTACATTTGATTAATTGCACCATTCACTGAAATTCATGATTGCCCTACAGCTGACTTGGGTGAGGCATCCAGCTCTCTGTCCCGAGATTTCATGTAATTTATTTTATTGCATTGCTAATCACCAGTACACGGATATAAGTGTGGTGATTACAGTGTGTCAACAAGACCAGATCTTAGACCAACGTTCAGGCACACATGCAGCAGCACTCCTATAGCTTTAGGTGCAACAAGTTTTCGAAGAATGGATCCACCGGCAACATGCCCGGGAAGACTTAGCGACGACCGTCACGTGTTTGATGCACAGCGGCACAAACCTTGACCCACATTTAAAACAGATTAGAAGCTAATTTGTGAAGATGGCAGCCTGTTGAGCCAGGGCTGATGTCTGCTGTTTTCTCCGCTCATTTGATCTCCTCGAGTGTTTTCCCGCGCTGAAAGATTGCAAATTAATCTGGCAAATTGTAAATAAATCTTGTGAATTTGCGCGTTGATGAAAATGATCTCGCTGTAGCAGACGACAGGCCCAGGGGATGACTGGCTGAAACAAACACGTATCTGCAAGAGTCAGTGAGCTGTCCGCGTTGTTTGTTCTTACCTGCTGCCTTGTTGTCAATGTCCGTCTTCTAATATTACATTTTCATTAGGGTGTTTACATTTTGTTTCCTGACATCATCTGTATGTTTGTATTTATGAAATATAATATGTGTGCTTGCACAAATTTATTTTGTTATGTGGTTCTAGATAGTTCATATTGCCGATAACCTTGCGTCTCTAATGTCAATAGACCGTGCATATTATGTCAGATGATAGAGTGCATATGCTTGTTATGTAGATATCAGCAACTTGCCTACAGCTAAAACATGAACACCATGGTTCCTGCTCAACTATGCACGGCCGATTGGTAACAATTCACCACACGCACGTACGCACTCACTCACGCAGACACACACAGCAATACTAACCAGGCATTCACAATAAAACACGCTCACACAAGAGGATCACATCAAGTGTCGGTCAGCTGTACTCAACTACAAACAAAATAGAAGACGTTGCGGTCACCTGCCTTCACCAACAAGCCAGACACAGATAGCGAGCACAAGACATAACGATGATTTAACTGATACTTTAGACATCATACGATCATACAACAATTGGAGAAGAAAGAAGAGGAGGGGTTGGCTGAAGTAGAACACGCTGAGAAGACATGAAAGAAGAGAGACTGGGAGATAGCGTGAGATAAAGAGGGAGAGAGGCTGGAGTGGGGAAGAAAGAGAAAGACAGAAACTGGAAAGGGGGGGGGGAGAGATGGGGGGGGGGGGAGTTGAAATAGGATGAATCTGATTTGCAGAAAGATGAATTCAGTTTGCAGAGGGTGATTTGCGAAACGTTGAATTTGATTAGCAGAAAGACGATTTGCAGAATCTTGAATTTGATTAGCAAAAATATTATTTGGGAAACAATTTTAATTTGGAGAAGGGTGATCTGCAAAACGTTGAAACTGGTTTGCCAATCCTGTAGGCATCTCGCAATTATCAGCCATCGGACGAGCTCGGCAGGACAAAGGCGGCAACTGTTGCCTGTTACTTGCACACACGAGCACAAGTCCAAATTTTGCTGGAGCTTTCCCTTATCGGACCCGCGATGAAATAGCCCAGTTGTATCGCCATTCTTTCCCGCAAGTTCAACAAACGGTATCTCGCCAGACTTCCCGTTGCCACGGCTTTCTGCTGCTCTCCACCTTGCAGCCAGACAGGTAACAGATGGTTGACGTTTACCAATGGACGTTGAATGCGCCAATAAAGAACATGTTGGGGTGTGTGCATTGTCTGTTGTTATCATTCTAACATGGAGGATATCTGCGAGAGATGCGCTCCACTCCGGACAAACGACAGCACAGTTCTCAAACATGGATAACTATTTCTGTTATCAAGGCTTGCTGACGGCAATGGTTGCCCTGTCCACCCCAACAGATATCCCTCTACAGGCTGGCACAGACCAGGGTAACAAGCGGAACTTGCACATTCTTCTTTGTTCACCGTCTATAAGCTCTGGCTGAGTCCAGGTTGTTCGTCCATTTGGACTGCTTTGTGCCTGCATTTCGTGTGTGTATATCCATTTTCTGGCTTATTTGTGTGCAACTGCTTGGTTCTTACCGCTCGGATAGTTCTGGATTTAAGTATTATACAAGTACAAACACAAGATTCTGTCATTGTGTACATGATACATACAGAACTTTCTGTCAGTGTGTAAATCATGCACACACAACATTTTGTCAGTGTGTACATTATACAGACACAACATTCTGTCATTGTGTAAATTATACAGACACAACTTTCTGTCAGTGTGTAAATCATGCACACACAACATTCTGTCAGTGTGTACATTATACAGACACAACATTATGTCATTGTGTACATTATAGAGACACAACATTGTGTCGATGTGTACATTATAGAGACACAACATTATGTCGATGTGTACATTATAGAGACACAACATTATGTCGATGTGTACATTATAGAGACACAACATTGTGTCGATGTGTACATTATACAGACACAACATTGTGTCGATGTGTACATTATACAGACACAACATTGTGTCGATGTGTACATTATACAGACACAACATTGTGTCGATGTGTACATTATACAGACACAACATTGTGTCGATGTGTACATTATACAGACACAACATTGTGTCGATGTGTACATTATACAGACACAACATTGTGTCGATGTGTACATTATACAGACACAACATTGTGTCGATGTGTACATTATACAGACACAACATTGTGTCGATGTGTACATTATACAGACACAACATTGTGTCGATGTGTACATTATACAGACACAACATTGTGTCGATGTGTACATTATACAGACACAACATTGTGTCGATGTGTACATTATACAGACACAACATTGTGTCATTGTGTACATTATACAGACACAACATTGTGTCGATGTGTACATTATACAGACACAACATTGTGTCGATGTGTACATTATACAGACACAACATTGTGTCATTGTGTACATTATACAGACACAACATTGTGTCATTGTGTACATTATACAGACACAACATTGTGTCATTGTGTACATTATACAGACACAACATTGTGTCATTGTGTACATTATACAGACACAACATTGTGTCATTGTGTACATTATACAGACACAACATTGTGTCGATGTGTACATTATACAGACACAACATTGTGTCGATGTGTACATTATACAGACACAACATTGTGTCGATGTGTACATTATACAGACACAACATTGTGTCGATGTGTACATTATACAGACACAACATTGTGTCGATGTGTACATTATACAGACACAACATTGTGTCGATGTGTTAGACACGCGCTGTCTGTCTGACAATGTTAACCAAGGTTGACATTGACGGTGGGGTTTATATTTAGCGCAGCCACAGACAACTCTTGCCAGTCTTATATTTGTGCGGAAACACGGTTGTCTTCGCCTGGCAGCGTCAGCCAGAAACCTGCACATGAGGCTCGACAAGTCGTGTTGAATCAGCTGCTGTCCAGTCTACACATGAGGCTCGCCAAGTCGTGTTGAATCAGCTGCTGTCCAGTCTACACATGAGGCTCGACAAGTCGTGTTGAATCAGCTGCTGTCCAGTCTACACATGAGGCTCGACAAGTCGTGTTGAATCAGCTGCTGTCCAGTCTACACATGAGGCTCGACAGGTCGTGTTGAATCAGCTGCTGTCCAGTCTACACATGAGGCTCGACAAGTCGTGTTGAATCAGCTGCTGTCCAGTCTACACATGAGGCTCGACAAGTCGTGTTGATTCAGCTGCTGTCCAGTCTACACATGAGGCTCGACAAGTCGTGTTGAATCAGCTGCTGTCCAGTCTACACATGAGGCTCGACAAGTCGTGTTGAATCAGCTGCTGTCCAGTCTACACATGAGGCTCGACAAGTCGTGTTGAATCAGTTGCTGTCCAGTCTACACATGAGGCTCGACAAGTCGTGTTGAATCAGCTGACGTCCAGTCTACACATGAGGCTCGCCAAGTCGTGTTGAATCAGCTGCCGTCCAGTCTACACATGAGGCTCGACAAGTCGTGTTGAATCAGCTGACGTCCAGTCTACACATGAGGCTCGACAAGTCGTGTTGAATCAGCTGACGTCCAGTCTACACATGAGGCTCGCCAAGTCGTGTTGAATCAGCTGCCGTCTAGTCTACACATGAGGCTCGACAAGTCGTGTTGAATCAGCTGACGTCCAGTCTACACATGAGGCTCGACAAGTCGTGTTGAATCAGCTGACGTCCAGTCTACACATGAGGCTCGACAAGTCGTGTTGAATCAGCTGCTGTCTAGTCTACACATGAGGCTCGACAAGTCGTGTTGAATCAGTTGACGTCCAGTCTACACATCAGGCTCGACAAGTCGTGTTGAATCAGCTGCTGTCTAGTCTACACATGAGGCTCGACAAGTCGTGTTGAATCAGCTGACGTCCAGTCTACACATGAGGCTCGACAAGTCGTGTTGAATCAGCTGACGTCCAGTCTACACATGAGGCTCGACAAGTCGTGTTAAATCAGCTGCTGTCTAGTCTACACATGAGGCTCGATAAGTCGCGTTGAATCAGCTGACGTCCAGTCTACACATGAGGCTCGACAAGTCGTGTTGAATCAGCTGACGTCTAGTCTACACATGAGGCTCGACAAGTCGTGTTGAATCAGCTGACGTCCAGTCTACACATGAGGCTCGACAAGTCGTGTTGAATCAGCTGACGTCCAGTCTACACATGAGGCTCGACAAGTCGTGTTGAATCAGCTGACGTCTAGTCTACACATGAGGCTCGACAAGTCGTGTTGAATCAGCTGACCTCCAGTCTACACACGAGGCTCGACAAGTCGTGTTGAATCAGCTGACCTCCAGTCTACACATGAGGCTCCACAAGTCGTGTTGAATCAGCTGACGTCCAGTGTACGGTTCATCTTGTGAATGTGAGCTTTTGATTTGTCTGGGAGGCTGGGCTTGGCGTCTCTGACAGATCTGGTATGTCTCTCGTGACCTTGGTTGTCTGGGAGACTAGGCTTTGCGTCTCTGACAGATCTCGTTGGTCTTTCGTGACCTTGGTTGTCTGGGAGACTGGGCTTAGCGTCTCTGACAGATCTCATTGGTCTCTCGTGACCTTGTTTGTCTGGGAGACTGGACTTGGCGTCTCTGACAGATCTCGTTGGTCTCTCGTGACCTTGGTTGTCTGAGAGGCTTGGCGTCTCTGACAGATCTCGTTGGTCTCTCGTGACTTTGGTTGTCTGGGAGACTAGGCTTGGCGTCTCTGACAGATCTCGTTGGTCTCTCGTGACCTTGGTTGTCTGGGAGACTAGGCTGGCTTCTCTGACAGATCTTGTTGGTCTCTCGTGACTTTGGTTGTCTGGGAGACTGGGCTGGCGTCTCTGATAGATCTCGTTGGTCTCTCGTGACCTTGGTTGTCTGGGAGACTAAGCTTGGCGTCTCTGACAGATCTCGTTGGTCTCTCGTGACCTTGGTTGTCTGGGAGACTAGGCTTGGCGTCTCTGACAGATCTCGTTGGTCTCTCGTGACCTTGGTTGTCTGTGAGACTAGGCTTGGCGTCTCTGACAGATCTCGTATGTCTCTCGTGACCTTGGTTGTCTGGGAGACTGGGCTAGCGTCTCTGAGAGATCTCGTTGGTCTCTCGTGACCTTGGTTGTCTGGGAGACTAGGTTTGGCGTCTCTGACAGATCTTGTTGGTCTCTCGAGACCTTGGTTGTCTGGGAGACTAGGTTTGGCGTCTCTGACAGATCTCGTTGGTCTCTCGTGACGTTCAATGTCTGGGAGACTAGGCTTGGCGTCTCTTACCGATCTCGTTGGTCTCTCGTGACTTTGGTTGTTTGGTAGACTGGGCTTAGCGTCTCTGACAGATCTCATGTATCTCTCGTGACCTTGGTTGTCTGGGAGACTAGGCTTGGCGCCTCTGACAGATCTCGTTGATCTCTCGTGACCTTGGTTGTCTGCGAGACTAGGCTTGGCGTCTCTGACAGATCTCGTTGGTCTCTCGTGACTTTGTTTGTCTGGGAGACTGGGCTTGGCGTCTCTGACAGATCTTGTTGGTCTCTCGTGACCTTGGTTGTCTGGGAGACTGGGCTGGCGTCTCTGACAGATCTCGTTGGCCTCTCGTGACCTTTATTGTCTGGGAGACTAGGCTTGGCGTCTCTGACAGATCTCGTTGGTCTCTCGTGACCTTGATTGACTGGGAGACTGGGCTGGCGTCTCTGACAGATCTCGTTGGTCTCTCGTGACCTTGGTTGTCTGGTAGACTTGGCTTGGCGTCTCTGACAGATCTTGTTGGTCTCTCGTGACCTTGGTTGTCTGGGAGACTAGGCTTGGCGTCTCTGACAGATCTCGTTGGTCTCTCGTGACCTTGGTTGTCTGGGAGACTGGACTTGGCGTCTCTGACAGATCTCGTATATCTCTCGTGACCTTGGTTGTCTGGGAGCATGGGCTGGCGTCTCTGACAGATCTCGTTGGTCTCTCGTGACCTTGGTTGTCTGGGAGACTAGGTTTGGCGTCTCTGACAGATCTCGTTGGTCTCTCGTGACCTTGGTTGTCTGGGAGACTAGGCTGGCGTCTCTGACAGATCTCGTTGGCCTCTCGTGACCTTTATTGTCTGGGAGACTGGGCTGGTGTCTCTGACAGATCTCGTTGGTCTCTCGTGACCTTGGTTGTCTGGGAGACTAGGCTTGGCGTCTCTGACAGATCTCGTTGGTCTCTCGTGACCTTGGTTGTCTGGGAGACTGGACTTGGCGTCTCTGACAGATCTCGTATATCTCTCGTGACCTTGGTTGTCTGGGAGCATGGGCTGGCGTCTCTGACAGATCTCGTTGGTCTCTCGTGACCTTGGTTGTCTGGGAGACTAGGTTTGGCGTCTCTGACAGATCTCGTTTGTCTCTCGTGACCTTGGTTGTCTGGGAGACTAGGCTTGGCGTCTCTGATAGATCTCGTTGGTCTCTCGTGACCTTGGTTGTCTGGGAGACTGGGCTGGCGTCTCTGACAGATCTCGTTGGTCTCTCGTGACCTTGGTTGTCTGGGAGACTAGGCTGGCGTCTCTGACAGATCTCGTTGGCCTCTCGTGACCTTTATTGTCTGGGAGACTGGGCTGGCGTCTCTGACAGATCTCGTTGGTCTCTCGTGACCTTGGTTGTCTGGGAGACTGGGCTGGCGTCTCTGACAGATCTCGTTGGTCTCTCGTGACTTTGGTTGTCTGGTAGACTTGGCTTGGCGTCTCGGACAGATCTTGTTGGTCTCTCGTGACCTTGGTTGTCTGGGAGACTAGGCTTGGCGTCTCTGACAGATCTCGTTGGTCTCTCGTGACCTTGGTTGTCTGGGAGACTGGGCTTGGCGTCTCTGACAGATCTCGTATATCTCTCGTGACCTTGGTTGTCTGGGAGACTGGGCTTGACGTCTCTGACAGATCTCGTATGTCTCTCGTGACCTTGGTTATCTGGGAGACTGGGCTTGGCGTCTCTGACAGATCTCGTATATCTCTCGTGACCTTGGTTGTCTAGGAGACTAGGTTTGGCGTCTCTGACAGATCTCGTTGGTCTCTCGTGACCATGGTTGTCTGGGAGCCTGGGCTGGCGTCTCTGACAGATCTCGTTGGTCTCTCGTGACCTTGGTTGTCTGGGAGACTAGGTTTGGCGTCTCTGACAGATCTCGTATATCTCTCGTGACCTTGGTTGTCTGCATCCTTTGGTCTTGACAGTGCACACGTATGGCTCGTGACCTTGGTTATCTGGGAGAGTGGGCTTGACAGTCTCTGACTTCTCGTCGACACCCGTGATTACTTATCTGGGAGACTGGCTTGACCGTCTCTGACAGTTTGTCAGCTTAGCGGTCATTCCTTATATCTCAGGACCTTGGTTTCTGGGAGACCTAGCTTGGGTCCTGGAAATATATCAGGGAGTGAAGGTGGCCGCTGGGGAAACAACAGCAACCAAATAACACTGACTGGTCTGGAATGTGGATCTGGCCACACATACAACCAACAAGGCGTTGTTATTGCGTTTGTGTGTTTGTCTGTCTGTGTGTGTGCCTGTTCGTTTGTTTCTATGTACTGTATGACACCTGTGGAGCAAAAGTGTACTGTTAGACACGTCCGTTGTTGTGGAACGCTTTAGAAATTGTGCATCAATATTGTAAATGACGCCATTTGTTGAACCTTTACAAAAAAAAGTGATCTCTCGGAGTTGGTTACTGGAAAAACCGCTTGACGTCTCTGCAGATCTCGATACCAATCTCGTGACCTTGGTGACCTGATTGGTCGAGTGTTTCACTTTCAAATTTCAGTGATTTTCTTTTATGT